AACAATAGCTCCCAGTTATATTTCATTCACAACTGCATCTATTTTCATCCCACTTACAGCACTTACCTTGCTTGGGAACATCCTAGTGCTATTAGCRATATTTATAGACCCAAACCATGAACTGAAGTCACCRTTTAATTACTTTGTAGCCAATCTAGCTGGTGCTGATCTAGTTGTTGGTGCAGTTGTCGACCCTCTAGGTATTGCCTATCATTTTAGTGAGGGTKTATATGGTAAATACCCAGCAAGTCTGAATTATATTCATATWCCATATTTCTTAGCAAGCACTGCATCTGTTTTAAGTCTAGCAGCACTTACATTGGATCGCTATCTTGCGATTACCAGTCCCCTTTCATACAGGACHAAGTTAAACCCCAAAAGGGCTGGGTTTGTTTCTATTGGGATTTGGCTTTTYTCWATTGGGTTTTCATTTGTGAGAATTGCTACTGGATATTTATTATTTTCGTTCATTTTTCTTCATACTATCATCTTATTTTCATTTTTGGTCATGTTATTTACCTACCAGCGAATATTCAAGGCATTTAGGTCACAAGTCCAGCAGTGGGRCAACATAAGTGATATCAAAGACTCAGATAACTTTGCCAAGCRACAAGCAGTTCGCTGGGAACAGAAGGTCACTAAGACCTTTTTAATCATGCTKYTATTYTTCCTGGGATGTTATTTACCTGCATGCATTTGCATTTACATCACTAATTTATGCAGCTYCTGCAGYTGTGTTGTAATTCAYTGGGCAAGAGACATCCMTTTTGTTTTGATTCTTGCCAACTCTTGCATCAACCCATTTYTATATGCTGTAAGATTTGAAAACTTYAGAAARGCCTTTAAGAAAATCCTGTGCTGTCAKGGACTAGTAAATAGRATRCGCKCAATCACAATACATTTGMATTTAATCAATTCYCATTCTGGAAGTACAGTTACTGTTGRTACACCAGTCAGTTCTCCTCCAAATTCAGAGAGTACATGATGCAGAAGTGATTTTCCATCAACTATGACAAGAAAATGACTATCTAGATATATACTGTAGCTTGTACTATTTGATAATGTAACTGAACCAAAGACAGCACAGTAAGTCTGCTGTTCTTAAAATATGTTCCTTTTGTGGTCAATGGAAAGTCACTCTGACATCTAACGTTAGTTAAGGTGGCTGGAGGGGGTATATTCTTCGTTTGCAATACGTCACAGCGGCCATCTTGGTTGAACTTCAACAAAGGATTTCTAATTAGTATCTATTGTTCATTCAACCAACATGGCCGACGGTCTTTTATCTTTTGAATCTCATGAGGATGATTGAAAACGAGCAATTGATTATGCCTAGAAACATTAAGGGTGCTTGAAGGAGTATATAAATATAATATATCATGTATAGATATATACAGTCAACTCTTCTTGWAATCATGGACATAGCAAGTTTACTATGTAAAAAGAGTAATCTTAAGTATAAAGTGTCTATTGATGGTGTATCAGTACCATTGATTGCAAGGATAGACTTGACTGTATAATGTATATATGCAAACATGTTGTAGTCCAATGTACTGCTATAWTTTTAATCACATACTTCTTTTTGTATTTATATTTATGCTACAAGTAAGTATTATTATGCTATATCAGCGAGGGATATTTACATTGTAATTTACATGTTAGCTGTTGAAATCGAGCCCCTGCTCTCAATTCACCAAAATGTCAAAACACAAATAAAGTCATAAAACTTTATGGAAATATATAAAATACGTTAGGGGTCTCAAACACTATTTACCRAAGAATATAATTATAATGTTTATTATTATTACAGTCATTTCATGAAATTCTCACCGCTAACGTATATGGATATATCTATTAAGGAAGCTGGTATTGTCTTCATTTAACATCAAAATGAAGACTTTGTTTGAATTAGCGTAAATAAACTTAATTTTGATCAGTTTGATTAATTTRAATTATTATTTAGAAAGAAAAGAGCAAATGCAAGCCCCATACACCTTATTCCAAAATGGCTGACTATCCCTTGATGTCTCGTTTTCATGAAATTGTTCTTTTCTTTTAAAGTCACTCAAGCTCAAAGACAAAAGAGTAAGCCATTTTGGAATAATGTGTATGACATTGTCCATGATGTACACATGATAATGATGCAGTTAGCGTTCAGAATTCTTACAAATGACTGTATTGCACTGTATATCTTTACGCATAATGTTGTAACTAAGAGCTGCCTTACAGAATCCTTGGTTGTAAAATTTTGTTTATTGAAATAAAGGAACCTGTTGGTATCGGGTTTGGACTTAATTGAGTCTATATCATCTATGTTAACTGTTAGTTTTATTCGTCACTCGTTTATTTACGGTCTGGATAAAATGGTGATGGAATGCTTTCTTGAGTGGAAATAGATGGATTTACACCATATATATTATATACCATCAGATTTCACTTATTACCTTACCCAACATCGCACTACGTTATTAATCACTACCCATAATACCTTTCGGGCGTGTGCGTTCTCCACTGATTAAGTCAACCTTTCTTTCAAAAGCTGTATACCTTACTCAGTGACACTGGTCGATAGCGTTACYACACTTCTTGAAATRCTTCTTATCCTTTTAACAAACCATCTACACATGAGAAGCCTTTTGAAGGCACGACGGAAGTTCTCCAGCCGCCATCCRTAGACAAAGGGGTTCATACCAGARTTGGCCATGACCAACATGATTTGAAGGTCACGTGATACGTGGATGAGATCACAGCTGCATGGACGGCAGAAATTCATGATGTAGACGAAGATCACTGATGGGAAGTAACAGGCCATGAACAGTGCCAACATAATCAAGAACGTTTTTGTAATCTTTTTTTCCCATTTGACCACCTGTGAAATTCATTCAAGGTTTCAGTAAAAAGGAAAGGTTGTACTAGTTATACGACCGATAAGGGATTGCGATTCGCTGCGGACTAAGTTGCGCGTATTTTGAAATTCCGTGCAGTCCTCATTATCAGCCAACAAACAATAGATATTTTCAAAAAGTACAGACAGACTCTAACAAGTGATATTCAAACAAGCTAACAAGGAAGACAAGAGAAAAGACCTTAGAGCGGCGTTTTACACGAGCAATTTTTCCTTGACAAGTTGCTTGACAAGGAAAAATTGCCTGTGTAAATGGTCAACAAGTTTTCCTCGACAATTCTTCCTTGACAATATTTCCTTGCCACATTTTCCTTGTTGTCCATTTACACGAGCAAATTTCGTCCTTAACAAATTTTTTCTTGTCAAGGAAAAGCGAACATTTCGATAAAATGATTCTTTAGATCTGCGTACTGGAGGCTCACATGCGCTTATAAAATTGGAACTGCAGTTGTATAAAAAGATAAATTTAACACCGTAAAAAAGTACTTACAAAGAACAAACAACTTACTGACGTTTCGGACGTTAATTCTTCCCTACAGGGAACCGCACATGKCTCAAATTGAGATTCATAAAGGTTCTATGTACCTGTCTGCTGTTTTCACTGTTTTCGTCTGAGAGGTTCTCCCAGTTCTGYACTTGAGATTTCAAGGAAGCAAAGATCTTTACATAGGTGAAAATYAGTACAGCAAAGGTGAATAGAACAGCTGTGTGGGCAAATAAAAACGTATAGGCGATGTATCCAATYTTGGTGTAGATAAAGGAAAAACTAATCGAGAATACCCAAATAAGGATCGATACAATTGCGACTCGTTGTCCACTGAGCTTGACCCGATATTGCAAGGGTGAAGTTATAGCCAAGTACCTGTACAAAAGAACATCACTTTGTTAATTATACTTTGACTATACTTTTGATAATGTCATGATTTCAGTGCGTACAATTGGAAACTGCTTAGATATCAACAAAGATTCATTTTTTTATCTTGTAATGTTAATCGATATCGAGTTGAAATCGAATCGAAATCGAATCGAAACATGCCTGCGAACATCGCCCTGTTACAAACAATCGATCGATCGGTCGATCCATCAATCAATCAGTTGATCAGTTAAAAAAAGCAACCAATCCAGGGGGGGATCCAGGGAATGTGCTTTGGGTGTAGACGCACCCCCCCTTTTTTGGGACGACAYATTTTTTTATATGTCAGTATAAAAGTTTTTTACTGCTGTTTATATTCCTGATGTACTTTTATCGAGAAAACGTGTAGCATACACAACCTGTGTCTGGCACTCTCAAGACCGTTCCGTCTGCTATACGTAGTTTTTAGCTATATATTATTGAAACTAGTTTCAGTGCAGTAATACAAACAACCTATCATACCTGTCAACAGTCAGCGCTGCAAGGCTGAGTACCGACGCTGTACATGTTATGAAGAACAACATATGCAGTACCTCTATGGGTACTATAATATGTACCCTCATCCCTTCGCAAGTATGGAATATCACCGATAAAGGAGCCACAGCACATCCAACAATGAGATCTGCAAAGGCTAGATTACTGACAAAGTAGTTGAATGGACACCGTAGGTCTCTGTTAGGATCGATTAAGACAGCCAGTAGTACGAGTAAGTTCCCGGGRATGCTTATGAGTGATATTATTATGGATAGTGTAGCGGAAGTAAACGAGAGAGCGACTGGCGCAGTGACGTTTCCACATGCGTTATCTCCAAACATCTTCACCTCAGATTCTTTCAATTGGAGTTGATTGTTCACCTACAGAAAGCGATATAAAATCAAAATGAATGATGTAAAAGAATCCGTTTTTTTGTTGTTGGAATTCTTAGAATCATGGCGAGAATCAATACTAGGAATTCATTAATATACGATGACCGTCTGGGACGGAAGTAATAGCGTGTAAGCATTGCTTACAGCTATCTACCCAAAACAACATATTCTCTCTATTATTAGATAGTATTCTTCGAAATAAAGCTGCTAAAATGAACGATGATTGACCGGGTTCCGATTTTAGAACCTCTTGGTTCTGAGTAAATTTTGCTGAGACTGTCTCATTTCAAAAGACTCTTGAATATTTCATGCGTTTTTCTTAAGTTGTCCGATACATTTAGTATAAGCTTTTGGTTTGTGAGAGCGAAGAATCCAAACATATCAGACATATGTAGGGAGAGATTCTCTAGCTTGTCTTCATAGTTTCTTTTCTAACCTACGGGAGCTCGTATCGATAATGTTTTTATGATGTGGTTATAGTGACCCTTGAGTTGTTTATGTTTATGAACGAGACGTGGTACACTATGCAAATCGCTCGAAGTATGCCGACTTAGAGCTCGTATTTTCARTTTTTACCTTATTGAGACAGGAMAAGAGTTGTTTTTATCATGGAATCAAAGGATTCTTCTCCATACACGTCTTCTTCGTCGAAGTCTGAATCCAAAGGGCATTCTAATGATGTGGGACTTTAGCTTCAGACGATCATAATGATCCTGAGTCTACATGTCRCGCAAAGGTTGGCGTTTTGTGACAGTCACGATGTGGAGACGTRGTACTACTTCCGATTAGAAATAAAACTAAGAGCTACTAAGAACTAGTGGGAGGGGTGGGGTAAGGTTGAATAAATATAAATGACGGGATAGTAACTGAGCTGAAAGTGAGAATTGAATKTTAATGAAAGTGAAAAAGATGACATTTTACAATGGAAGAGAAATAATTTTTTGAAATAGTGCAAGCGTAATGTGATTCAGTGGAATGCGCTACAGGACGCGTCGTTTTCGCTTAATTACAGTTTGTAATAAAGCCTTTATTTGCAGTATCGTTACAACATAAAAGTGATAATTTCTACGTATACATATAACGACTTTGATACGGCCGCCATCTTGTTTTAACGCTTTTGAAAACACCTTATTGAAACACCTTTACGTTTTGATACCGCAGCAACTACAGCTACAATACGGTCGTTTTTTATATTTATYTTTGTACCGAAACTTCATGGTGTATTAATGGATTAATAATTGAATTCCAATTGTATCTGCGTTAAAGCTGAGCAGTCTACATGAACGGTGCTCTCTAATGAACGACGGTATCGCAACTTCTTTGAAAGCTTGGAACTCCCCAAAAAGGAGATCAAAGGACTAGAAGCATTTTGCATTCCCTCTAGAGAGCTTTCATCATGAAGCTTTACCAAAGTTCCAGATTTGCATTAGGGAACAGCTTCTTTAAGCAAACTAAGCTTAAGAASGGATCACTCTTYGAGTTAGAATTCTCAATTTTGTCTTCCGCTGTTGATTCTTTATTTTTGATAAAAGTTGGGCTGCTTTTTCTTTCCCGTGAAGTCAATCGTAGCTTGATTGTCTTTTTGTCCGTGTTTTCAAAACTGTTAGGTAGCCTTACWTGTAACTTTTTATCCGTTTCAGTTGTTTGAATTTCTTTGTTACTTTGATGTTCAGCGGACTCCTGTTCTTGCGCACGCGCTTTAGATGGCTTTTCCATCGTAAATTTCTCTTCAAATTCTYTGTCTGTTTGAAAGRGTGCGTTAACGTTCTGGYTTGGAAGCTGAGCTGGAGTAGCCGTACGATCAATGTTATCTTCATTTGGATCAAATGAAATTATTTCTGTGAATTTATTTKTACTRGATGGCTCTATACGAAAATCCTTTGGTGACTTTTTTTGAATTTTGGTATTCACTTGYATTACACTATTATCTTCTGARSTRATGTCTGATTGTGGCGGGAAAAGTTCCTCTATAATCTTTGACACTAGCGCACTTCTATTTTCTAATTCACTACAAACGCCTTTACAAACAAGGATACCCTGGAGAGACTGCTTCGTAYCATCAGCACYMATGCTAAATTTAGAAGGTGGGACAGCTTGGGGACGAAATTCCCTTGTTGCTGGGCAACTGGTAGACTTGGTTACCTGGTTGGTCTGAACTTCRTCTTTTGCCTGACAACGCGCAACTYGTTTCTTGGTGTCTGCAGACTTCCACCTTCTTCTCCCTGAATTTTSTTTTCGATTTCCTGTTGTCTTAGTTGTCAAGSGATTATTTTCAAGAGATTTATCTTCTGAAAATGTTGCTTCCGTTGATGCAAATGTTGCTGACGCATCTTCATAGCTTCTCTGACGCATTGTTKTACTATTTTGCTGTAAAAATACCAGTTTTCTTCTTCTTGTCCCATTCTTATTAATAAAGTCACTATCTGATTKTCCAGATCCGTCTGTGGTACCATCTTTCTGGCCAGTAAATGTTGAGCGCAGTCCAACTTCATTAGCTATAGCTTTTCTATACTTCATCCTATCAGACTTGCTTAGTTTTATGTCGGACATAAAAGCCATTCTTAGATCATTAATGTTGTTACAGACTGTTTTACTTTTTGAAGATTTTTCTTGATTTTCTTGTTTTGGTCTTGTAATAATTGCTTTCGCGCTATCGCCGTTTTTCTCTGATTCTTCTGGCGTAGTGTTTCTTTTATTATCTTCCTCTATTTCGCCTGCATTTTGATTTTCGAGCATCCTTGCATATTTTTCCCATGAATATGAGTTGCAAAGCTCCCAGAAATCTTTCCTCTTGTCCGAATCGCCGCGCGGTATTAAAGTCGGTCGAAAACCCAAATCTGAAACTTCGTACTTGCATTCATCGGCGCTGTCTTTTTCCATGATTTTGCAAACCTTGTTAATCACCAATTCGCTCTCGACGCAGATCGTTTCTTTATCAAATATTTTCGAATGGAGATTTATTCTAACTTGGCTTTAAAAATATTTCGTCGGACATTTATTTTCCATGCCATGGCTTCTTCGTGCATCTATTCAGTCTATTCCTTCAGTTAAGTTGCCAACTTCACGTATTTGACAATGTATTTTTTTCAGTAAACCACCGTTCTCTCCAAGAGGTTGTTGAGTTTCTTAGATATATAGAGTTCAGTCAACCGGTATCGTGCTATTTTCGCAACGAAAATTACGAAGAGTTCAGTATCCTTTTTTAGATGATAATAGATCTGAAACGTTTTCAGATGTCCAGCGTTTTTCTCAGCTTGTTGTACAGCTCAACAACTCTTTTAACTTATATAATAAACTTAATTAGTGTGTAATTTTTTAACTTACAATATTCAGAAGAACAAAAAAGTATGTTGAGTATTTCTTTTGAGTATGGTTATTCTCTGATATCCTCTCACATTGCCAAGTGTTTTTTGTTTGCTGTTCTCCTTATCGCGTTAAGTACTTTTAAGTACTTTTTGTTCAGTACGCACTTATAATAAGGTTTATAATTCTTTTATCAAATGCCTAATTAACACCATACGAAACCAATACAGCCAATTATCTAATGTACATGCTAATGTTTTATTCATCATTTAATGTAGAAACTGATCGGAGGTGTCTGGCAGGCCGACAAAGGTGTTGCTCATCTGACGTTGCTAGGATATTGATTTTGGTTGAATCTGATTGGACAGTCTCGCCATCAATCWAGAAGAGAGCTGATTGGATGAAACTCAAGGTAATTTTTATGATTTATTCATGATTAATTGATTTAGCATCATGAGGATATTGCATTAACATAATATAAAAAAAATCCTGTATTTACAATGTAGTCGACTAAAATCTCGCGATTCAATTGGCTCAGAAGAGTGTTCGTCAACATGCGATACAAAATACTCAAAATTTCGGTATTTGTTGAATCATATTTTAATCAAATATTGACATGGTTGTATGGTTGTGCGTTATATATATCATGCATAAATACCAAAAATCGAAAAAAAAAGTTTCGTTTTAAAAATATGATCTATTTATTTTTGAAACGAATTTTTTTGTCGTTTTTCGGCGGTGGAGGGCTGGTTTAGCGTCCAGCATAGTTTCAGTCCTTAGATGGGATAGGTCGCGTAAAGACTGTATATAAAATGTGGTTGCATTGACGACGCTCGCTACGGCTGTGTTCCAAACTGTATTCATTTTATAAGATCTATAATATCATTGAGCTGAATCACTTCATCGAAGTCGGATTACATTTATGTCAAACAAACACACTGTGATTGACTTCTCGTATAATTCGACCCAATACTATTCAATAATTCAAGTGTTTGATATACAATTTTTYAATTCGAAAAATGGTTTAACAATCAAATAGCTAGATAATATATATTGAATTCTAGGGGAATCTGTTGCAAATGGTATTTGAAACGTTGTCTTGTCTTTTAATGTTTCTCCGGAACAGAGGACACATCTATGTTTATATTGGTAACTCCGGCAAGTCAACTGTCGGATTATGAAGTTTTTATTTTGATTTAAAGCTCTTCAGTTTGTTATTGTAATTTGGAAAAAGGATTTTTTGTCGGCATGAGGCGGACACAAAAGAATTCAAAACGTAAGACCAAAAGGAAAGGGCGAAAAGTTCCTCCTGCTCGTTTACCACGTCTAAGTGGAGGACCCTCTAACCATTCAAAAAGTGTGGACGCAGATGTTACAAAGTCTTTTGACGCTAAACTTCCTCACCTCAGCGTCAGTGTCGGTAGCAGAAAAGCGAAGCTTAGTGGTAGCGGGTATCCTGTGGATACAGGAACAAATTCRACTGGGCTGCCTAGAATTATTCACAAGAGAAAGCAGAAATATATCGGTTCATGTGAAAAAGWTTTGAACTCAAAAGTTGTTGATCTTTACGAAGAAGGACCTACAGGAAAAGATCTTAGACAAAGACAGAAAAATGAATCGACTAATAGCAAAGAATTTTGTTCTTTGAACAAAAAGGTACCTAAAAGGGAAGTGCTCTSSTTTCACGAYAATAAGGAGGAGCTACCGCTACTAGCAAAACACGGCACAGCCAAAGGTCTGACAAAGAGCATCAATTCTGATAAAAAGAAGAAATATCTTCCTTTAAATAAAGAGAAATCCCGAGGAAAAATTCCTATCTTTGAAGATAAGGAACATAAAAGACTAGATCCAGAAATACTACAACGTACAAATTACTACAAAGTTGGTGATCAAAACGATATCGATTCTGAGAAAAATCAGAAGAACGTTTCTTCTAAAAGAATTAAATCTAAATCAAAGCTGTTTAATGAAGGGAAGTCTAAAGCAACTGAACTGACAAGGCTACAACCATCTAACTACCCTGTATCTGATGCAAAAAAGGAGTTTGCAGAGAAAACACWAAAACGTTTGACTTATAAGAATTCGCAAGGSWTAGCTCCTGACTCTGTTAAAAGATTTGAGTCTAGAACTGATTTGTCAGACGGGAAAAAGGGTTTAGCTGAGGAAAAGAAGAAGTCTGTGKCTTCTAGGATTACWAATTTGAAGGAAAAAGCCCAGCACAGTAATWAWGACTATAAAGTTGAAAGAGTGCGCATTAATTTTCAAAAACAACCGAGGAGGAMCCCATTTCATGCCAATGTAGACTGCATAAAAGAAGGTGTTAGTCTTATTGAAGTSTACAGCAATMAACCAAAATATAACCAATCCTCTTTTTCAAGTGACTYGGAAAATCAGGAAGCTGKATTGATAACTCACAGGGACTGTGGAATCTTTGACAGCATTGATGGAGTTGACTTAACTAATGTCAAAAMTCAAACAGAAGAAGAAAGTGAAAATATTTATGAGGAAAAACGTAGTGAAAAGGAAGAGATTCTAAGTGTGGAAATTCAGGAATCTGGATTACATCAGCCAAAGGAAACCGGAACCATGGCCATAAGTATTGACGAGGGATTTTGTGAACAAGATCTTATTTTTGAAGAAGTGGTTGATGTCAATTTTCTCCAAAAACACCACAGAACAAAACCAAAACCTCAAATGTTTACTAAAGGTTTATCAAGAAAACCACCAAATGTGGAAAACTYGGAATCTGGTTGTCGTGTGAATCGGGATGGCAGAAACATTTTGCCAACTAAAGAATTTAAGGTCCAAGGTCTTGAAATTAGTTTAAGGAAATTTCCAYCTCATAAAAAGCCAAAGAAAATATCTTTGGTGCCAAGTAAGCCAAAGATTTGTAGACAGAAAGTAGGGATTGAAGGTAACGATGGCATACAGGGCTGTAAAGTAAAAGGTTGCTCTGTAGATGTAGACGAATATGTGATTGCAATGGTGAGACTTGCTAATTGCAATGATAATGTCAACCAGAAAGAAATGCAGGGTTTTTCCTGTAGACTTTATCAAGAAATGTCTTAACTTTAAAATTCACATGCTATTAGTTCAATCAATCAATTTATTTCACATATTATATATATAGCTATTTTACATTTTACGCCAAATTATAACTAGTTTTAACTAGTAAAAAAATAAAAAAAACTAAAATTGCTTAGAGTTTACATAAGTGAGGAGAGATCAAGAAATCCTCACGGGCTTATAGTCAAAACTTATTTCTTTTTTTTTTTGGAATCGGTTTTCAGTTATGTATATTTATCTCTAGTTCCGTTCATAGTTTATCATTTAAGCTTTCTTATAATTGATGCTGTTTTATCAAAACACAACTTTACTAGTCTCTTTTCGGGTTTCCTGTGGTGAAAAAAGGGAAATAATAGAAAATGTCAAAAAACGTGACACGTACACTGTTTCGTTGATCTTTGTGTGTGTATTCACATAACAATGGTGGAAAGCTGCCAGTTATTCATAAAAACAGACTTCTCATCATTCAAACAAGCTGATGCAAGAAGGGTCAAGTTCAATTAGTTACAACTGGAGCAATTTTAAATATAATTTTATTTCTATGGAATAAAAACCTTATAAACTGACCAGTAGTGTATCTTGTGAGCTAGTGAAATTAATAAAATCATAGAGAAGAAAATAAAATAATGGAAATCGATGCTGATACTAGTCATACTACTCTAATAATATTTAACCTCGTTTCTTAAACCCTTAAAAAGCTGTAGCTTTTAAAAAAGATGCATTGAAGGTTCTCTGTAAAATCTAAAGATCTCATCTGTTCGTGCATGCAAAGCAACACATCTGGTCCATCAGGAAGGCATTATGGTTATTGAGTCATACTCAAAGAATGGTGTTAGAACACTGGGTGTCCAGGGAACTAGTCATCATCAAATCGAATCTCTGATCAAATCGAATGTTCGATCAAATCGAATGTTTGATCAAATCGAATGTTTGATCAAATCGAATGTTTGATCACATCGAATGTTTGATCAAATCGAATATTGAAAAAATCGAATCTCTGATCAAACCAATTTTCAACTGTATATTTTGTTTTGACTTAACCTAACACCATACTTAAATCACGCAAACAAAGGTTGTTGATTGATGTGCTGTAAGTCATGTCAAAAGGGCAGATTACTACATTCTCATGTAAACAGATTTATTAACGAGTACATTGATTCTGAAGCCTCCCGCACATTGTTGAAAAGACATTATACGAAAACCTATGATCCATAGCAAAAATTGGTAGCCAGCTGAAGATCTTGTGAGGATTCTTCAGTTGTAGAAACGTACCGACAAAATACGTGAAGATTTACATTGGAATCAGGAATTACGTAAGGATTTGTTTGYGACTTCCATAGGATGCGCTTAGAATTGTAATCTGGAGATTCGTCAACACGGAAAGTATCTTCCAAGCAGAAGAAAACTATCTTGTCTTTGATTTAGAGTACCCTAAAGGGCCCTAAAGACCAGAGTCTGAGACGTTATAAGTGTAAACTACAGTATTTTTAGTTCCCTTAAATCAGTGATCGAGGTACTGGGGGATCGCGGGGGCAAAGTCTACTATATTGTTACCATTCTTTGCAAGAAAAGTTTAGATCAGTTTATGAAAGTGAAATTTATACTGCACAAAGGCTGCTGAAGTCGGCATAACCGTCAAAATGAAAGAGYCGTCAAGATAAAA